AGGTGGTTAGTGATGGAAACAATTGATCTGAATTATAAATGTTATATAATTTACAATAACAATGATGATAGTGAATTATTTGTAATAGTTCCTGGACTTCCCCTCTAGGATCAGGACTCCGTCATGCTAGGCATTGTACAAGAACAAGATGAAAAGCAAGGGAGTGGGCTGAAACATGAGGGAAGTATTCAGAGTGAAAATAGGGGCATAAATTGTTAGTTCCAAAATTTTACTCCAAGATAAGCAACATGCAATGATTAGGAGAGAGAGGAAAAACTGAACTGGGTACCAGTACTTTTTATGTGCATTATATATGTTCATTATGTATGTATAATTTATATGCATTACTTCAGAAAGATACCCAGCAAGCAGTACAATGGTAGTTCTTTTGGTACTATATGTTGCTTATAAATACATACACACATGCATGCGTTCACATGCAGAAATAGATGTGTTATAAGGACAGGTGTATCTTTATTTAGGTTCTGTTGGTCCATCCAAATAATGTTCAGTTTAGTTCACCTTACTTAAATTGTAACCAGCAGCTCTTGATAAAAATATAGCCTTCTGTTTTGTATATTGCTTGGGAGAATATATTCTAGTTTTCTCATGCTAGGTATAGATACATAACAGGTAATATATTTTTCTGTTATCAGAAACATAGCAGATGAAAAAATGACATCCATGTGACTGAGAGCTGGGTCCTTGTGAATAGGATAAAGAACTCTATAAGCAGTTATAGGTCCAGCATTTCTATGTCCAGCATTTCCTTCTCTCCTCTTTTATCTTGTTATTGACAATGAAAACAAATGTAAGCAACTGTTTTGGTGTGTACGTTTAACTCAGCTCTATTTTCAGGTGAGTGGAGCAAAGAGATTCACCTTAGCTGATTTTAAACAAAATAGCGTAAGTTATTTTGCTGTTAAAAGAATAAAGAAGCATGGTTTGGGGTTATGTGCTTTTTTTCTGACAAGTTTCTGAATAATCAGGAAATTCCAGTGAGACAAACAGAATGTGTAGAGCAGGCCAGAATGACCAAATTACCATGACAACCATAGGCAAGAACCTAGAGAGAATCAGGTGAAGAAATTATAGTTGAATTACAGTTAACTTCATAAAATCTACTTTTTTTGTAACCATACAGTCATGAAGAGCTACCTCCTTAGGCCTAATATGGTGGGAGGGACAGCCAGTGAAAGTGCAGCATTGTCTGCAATATTGAAATTGCTTTCCAAATGGATACAAGTCATTTCTATCAAAAATTGCACATGCAAACTGCAGTAGTCATTGAAATTAAATATCAAGTGTGAGGCTCAAATTACAATCACGTCTGCCTCAATACCCTTAGATGCCATTTTGGCTTTAACTAAAATGGAGTTTAAACAATATACAGAGTAAGGGGATGTATGTTTCTATGCTGCTGCTAATGCCTGGTACAATTTCCTCTTCCTTGTTTTCCAAATGACCACGATATTCATTCTAACCTTTGGTTAAGACACTGTCATCTTTACAATAGGACGTTTCCTAAAGATATATGAAAGACTGAAAGAGATTTTTAAAGGGCATAGCATTAGAAAGCTTCTCTGAAAAATGTATCTTAAGGAATAGACAAAATAAAGATGATGGTTATTTGAATATATATTAAGCAAAAACTGCAGATTAACCATAAGATGGTTAGCTCCTAGGGCAGAGACTCACTCCCTAGTGTATTTGTTCAGTTTCTAGCACAATGACATTGCTCAACAATTAATAAAAAAATAACGTACACAAATATAACAGAAGTATAGGGGTATATTGGTTTCTGGAGACAAAGAGGGAAGATTTGTTGGATTGTATCATTTTTACATTAAGCTTACAAAACTGGCATTAGAATATATATCTGAAAAGAGAACAAAGTTCCCCAAACGTTCTTATGTTTCTCTCTCTGTATCTCATTTAAAATGTCAAAAAATGTATGCTTTATGGCTTGCAGACTTGCTGTTTATAATCTGCACACCCAGACATACTTTCATATTTGGTCTTTATAAATGTTATGCCTTTATATCTCTAAATTTTATAGCATGAGCTCACAGAGAGAAATAATACACTATATTGTTCCATGATATGATGTCATGCTTTGAATTCTCCTTGTCTGAACAGAATTGAATTTACTGCACTATAGCAAGATGTCTTCAGAGAACCTGAATATATTGCTGTAGTAGACCCAGGAAGGGGGATGTGTTAAAACTATACACAGTCAAATGGATGTATATTCTGGCAAAAAACTTTGGCATCCATGTATTTTTGTTTATCGCTGTCTATGGATATAGATATGCATACTAATTCATACCCAGGCTCACGTTGTGCATAGCTCAGGGCTGTATTTATTTTAATCTTGAGGGCTATGAGAAGCTGAGCTGAGTTCTCAGGGTCTTTACTTTCACCAGAGTGCAGCTTGGGATCATACACTTGGGGTGAGTCCAGGTTTTTTTCTTCTTTGTCATGTCTCCAGTCCAACCTTTCTATATGGTCTGTTCCCAATATCCTGTCCAGGCCACTGCTTCTGGTGTTGGTGTTGCCAGATCTCAGGGAGTGCACTGTGGTGGAGTCCAGGTGCTTTGCACATTACTCAGACATGGGGCCACATCACTGGGACGAGCCGGCCAGGTGCCCTAAGAAGCCACAGAGAACTGCTGGCAAGTGGTGTCCTGCAGGGTGGAGCCCTGGCTTAACTCCTGCCTAAAACCATCTGAGATTCACAAATAGAGACATGACAGCAACAGGGGACAGCCTTCGATTGCTGCTGAAAGTACTGAACTGCAAGAGGGAGGGAGGAAAAAGGACTTCCCCTGGGCTTCCCTTCCCCTCCACTCCCACCCACCCCACCAAAAAAAAAACAACGAGATCCTGGCTCAGCCCTTCCCAACAGGGCCTGGCGGCTGGGACATACTAATCTTGCTCTGAACAGCCTGCATGAGCTGTGTGCAGGGCTCAGCCTCTCCTTTCAACCCCTTGCTTCCTGCCCTGCAAGAGTTAACCTTTTCTAGAACATTTATTTCACCATCTCAGGGAGAAAAAAACCCAAAAACCTGCAGAGCTGAGAGGCTGCAGATCACAAGGCCATTCTGATAGCCTCCTGTCCCCATGGCAACAGCAACGGCATTTATCAGTTCCTTATGAGAGCAGGCACAGCAAATCTGCATTGCACATGGCAGCCTTCCAGCCTTTCAAATGAAAGAGCACTTTGAACTGCTGCCAAGTGTGGAAGGAGCAGAGCTGTCAGGACTGCTTAATGCTGGCAGTTTGTACTTGGGAGCCTTTCAGTTCCCAGAATCCTTCAGCCATGGCAGCCTGCCAGGTACTTAGCGGAAGCTAAAAACTAACCCCCAGACCATTCACTGCAGTGCACTCAAAATTTTCCACATGTACCATGTCACAAGTGCAGACTGTACAATGAAAGCAAACGCCTGCTGCTCGGGATTCTCATTTTATTCATAATCTAAGAAAAAGCCATTGCAGATTAATTGGCTGACAGCAGTACAGGGTAGCCGCTGTTTATAACTGCATGTGAGTGCGTCTCAAATGTGCATTTCACCCTTCAGAAATAGGATCAGCTTCTGACAGCACAAATGTTGCAGGCAGTCCTGGAGGGGAGAAGAGCAGAATTAGCAGGAAGAAGGAACTGGGGTATTTACGATCCCAGGCATTATCCAGAGTCTCCCCCTGCACAGGCAGTGGGTGATGGACAAGAGAGAGAAAGCGGGGGCTGGCGGATATTTTCTGCCCTTGCCCTCTGCAGTTTGCTGACATTGTGAGAATCTTGGAAACTGGCTGCTGAGTGCAGCAGGGAGACATGGCTCTTGGTGGGTTTCCTTTCAATGAAGAGTTTTCATGAGAACTTTTGATTGTTTTGCATTACCCAAAGCACAAGGGCTTCTCCTGGCAGAAGAAACAAATTGGCACAGTGCTGCTTTTTTTTTTGTTAATCTGTGCTGAGATCAAGGGCAAGGGCTTCATTTTCCAGCACTAGTCATAAGCCTTTAGCACAAATAGAATGAAAATTATCTGTCGCTCAGGCAGTTGGACAGGGTTCAGGAAAACTATGTCTGGCACTATTTCCAAAGTGGAGGTTTGGTTCAATTCAGCACCATTAATTTCAGTAAACTGTTTTCACTTGTCTGGATCCCACTGTTCAAGAGCTATTTTTCTGTTTCTCTAAAGTCATGTCTTCAGTTGTACAAAACAGTGCATAACACCGTATGGGCAATATAGGGATGGGTATGGAGGGATTGTTACAAACTTCTGCTTTTCTCTTTCTTTTCTTATGTGCTGCTTTTTCTCTGACCCTCTCCCACTACAAGACACAGAGATAATGACAGACAGAGGGACACAAAGAATAGCGCAGTGAGACGGAAAGCCCGGAAGGAAACCCATCAGCACAAGAATGAGAGGTTTCCCCCAAGGCAGGAGGATAGGTGTGCTGCTTTCTCAGCTTGCAGCTATCCTAGGCCGGCTTCTTGAAACTGCGGCTTAATTCACTCAGGCAATACTGTCTAAAAGTAATACGTCAAGACAGTTAATTTTGGCACTTGATCTCCCTTAGGAATTTTACCAGCAGTCTTTGGAAAGAAAGTAAATGATCCTTTTTCCCCTCTCCCCTTTCCCCCATAGCTCATCTTGGAACAAATCCAAATAACAGTAAAGCGCTTCCTCCGCTCGCCTGCTCCTACCCTCCTATCCCTCCTAAACATCCTCCTTTCAATAGTCCAGTGTTAACCAGCATTTATAACAGGGACAGGGGAAATGTGCTTTAGTTCTCTCAAATGGCCTAGTTACAGTGGGAAAGGAGTTTCTAGCTTGAAACATGATTTTAAACATTACAATT